GTTAGGTTCTCAGAAAGCTGCAGTGAGGTCTCAGTGTTATTGAGACATGGTGTGATCGCTGGAACATAAAAATCAATGAAGATCTACTTCTCTCATAGACTTGGGCCCCCTAAGACTCATCTTACATTGAATGGGCAGAATATTCCCTTTGTCAATCACGTAAAATACCTGGGCGTAATCTTCAATAAGAGGATTATGTGGGGACTTCACAGAGAAATGATTGAAGCCAAGGCCTTCAGAATATTTATTAGAATCTACTCCCTATTCAAAAGTGAGTGTTTAAATGCAAACATTAAACTATCCCTCTATAAGGCATTGATCAGATCAGTAATGACTTATGCTTGTCCCACCTGGGAATTAGCGGCAGATGCCTACCGCCTAAAATTGCAGCGCATGCAAAACAAGGTTTTGCGCACTATTGAAAATTTTCCAAGGTCCACACCAGTCTGCGACTTGCACACAGCTTTCAACTTTTCATATGTATATGATTATATAACAAAATTGTGCAGACGACAAGCAGAAGTCATACAAAATCATGATAATGAACATGTTAGCAGTATAGGACAAGGTGAAGCCAGACAGAGAAAATAAATATAAGAGGCTTAAACTTGGCAGTGGTCAAGCTTATGACCATTCAAATGACTAAGTTTTCATTGCAGCATAAGATCTGTAAGTTAGGCATGATCTGCTCTGTAAAGCCTGTACTGACAGGGGACTTGTGTGTAAAGCAAAAGGAAGAGTTTTCGATAACATATTATATATGTGCGAAATATATGCTTGACAAAAGGTCAAGTGTATTCGTAAGAGACAGACCCATCTTCTCGTCAGAGAGGATGTTACATAAGGACTATTACCTCAAGAGTTCAGTTGGAATAAAAATCTCTGGTCATGGGCCTCAGGGGGCCTGATTGGCGGTAAGCCGCCAGTCGTAAAGTAACTCTGACTCTGACTCTGAAATAGTTCAGTATATTCAGACCGGACCACCTATCTACATGGGCTCCCTCCTGCGCCACTAGAGGGCCACGCTCTCTAGGGGTTACAGGTTCCCCCAAGAGGCTACTGACTGACTGACTGACCGTCAGTTGCAATGTGACTTTGACTTTGAAATAGTTTAAAATGATCTCCAAAGAATCAGAATACCGCTCAGTGGTTTTGGTATCGGTATTATGCAAAAAATAGTGATTACTAGTAAGTAAACTGAAGCACAATAGATCACTGTGGTTGGGTGCAAGGGCCAAGAGGGCCCACCCCTTGTACAAGTAGACTGAAACCATTCAGAACAGGATTTTCAATCTAAATGCATTCATACAATAAGTTCATATTGAATATACATTAGATCTCAGTAACAGACTGATATGAAACAGCTGTAAGCGTCCTGCCACCATGAGAGATAGTAGAATTAGAATAATCCTTGTCAGCATGATAAACTCAGTACACATTGTGAAAGAGATAAACAATCATTAGCCACATCTCAATAATGCAAACAAATCTGTAATCCTGAGCATAAACATTTTCATAAAAATGGAATATTTGGTACTAAGACCCCTAACAAAAATCACTGAGATCAAAATTATTTTTACTGAACACAGTGGGATGATCCCAGTCTGCAGCAGAACCAGAGTCTGGAATAACAAATTAAGAATTTAAACCTCTTCCGCTGCGCATCTCATAAATACTGTCACGAGTTGATGAAACTTGAAATAGCATCAGCGAGAGCTCCATCTTCAGAAAGTTTAATGGAGTACTGGAATAGCATACCTGATGAAGCATAGTTGCCACAAAAATGAGCAATGAGACAACCAGTAGGCCAATCACCAATGCCATTAATGAGTGAGAACTCATCTTCAAGAACTCAAACACATATAAAGACCAATCCAATGCAGACATACTACTTTAGTCCCAATTGTTCCATCAAAGAATTTTCTACATTGCCAGCAGTGATCTATGTGCTGGTGGTTCAAATATGATTGGGACTGATTTTTTTTTAAAAACCATAATTGCCAAACACTTACTTGCACATGTCAGTCTTCAATGTACTCCCCTCCAGAGTCAATACATTTTTCCCAACGTTCTGGAAGCATCCTGATGCCCTTTTCAAAAAAGGCTTGTGGTTGGTGGTGTATCCACTCCCGAACAGTCTGGATGACGGCATCATTGTCCACAAACCGCATGCCTTGTAAGTCTGATCTGAGCCCTCCAAACAGGTAGAAATCACTTGGGGACAAATCGGGACTGTACGACGGATGTGTCAGAAGGTTCCATTTCAATTTCTGGAGGGTTTCCATTGTTGTTTTCGCCGTATGGGGGTGTGCATTGCCTTGAAGGAAGGCCACCTGCTTTCCACCTGTCTTCCGATTCGATCGGATCTTTTCCTTCACGTCTGTTGCCAGGAGGTCTGAGTAATAAGCTGCATTGACTGTTTGGGCATCTGTCAGAAAGTCTACATGGATGACCCCCTGCCAGTCCCAGAAGAACGTTGCCATCACTTTTCCTGCCGAACGGCTCCTCCGTGCTCTTGGGTTTCGGAGAACTGGTATGCTGCCACTAGTGTGATGACTGCTGGGACTTGGGAATGAAGTAGTGCACCCACGTTTCATTGGTGGTCAATATAGACTTCAAAAATGCATCACCTTTGTCTTCAAACTGCTGTAGGAGACGACTGGCACCTTGCATGCACACCATTTTGTTCATGTCCGTCAAAGTGTGTGGTACCCACTGTGCATTCACCTTGCGATAGTGCAGGTGGTATTTCATGATGTCTTCTACACTACCAACACTGATGGACAGCATTGCTCCAAGTTCCTTGATAGTGATACATCTATTCTCATGAATAAGTGAGTCTGCACGATTAATGTTAAAGTCCGTGTAGGTAAACATCTGTCCGATAAATTTCCTATCCAGGATGGTCTAAAACAAGGAGATGCTATATCGCCACTCCTTTTCAACTTTGCTTTAGAATATGCCATTAGGAAGGTCCAGGGAAACCAGGTGGGAATGAAATTAAACGGGACACATCAGCTGTTGGCCTATGCTGATGATATGAATCTACTGGGTGACAACATGGATACCATAAAGCAAAACACTTAAACTTTAATTGACGCAAGTAAAGAGGTTGATCTAGAAGTAAACACAGAGAAAACTAAGTATATGTTGCTATCTCATCACCAAAAAGCAGGGCAAAATCATGACATAAAGATGGGAAACAGATGTTTTGAAAATGTGGCACAGTTCAGATATTTGAGAACAACGAAAACAGACCAAAATCTGATTCAGAAGGAAATTAAGAAAAGATTGAATGGGTAATGCTTGCTACCATTCAGTCCAGAACCTTTTGTCTTCTTGTCTGCTGTCCAAACACATACAAATTAGAATATACAAAACTACAATTTTGCCTGTGTGAAACTTGGTCTCTGACATTAAGGGAGGAACATAGACTGAGGGTGTTTGAGAACAGGGTGTTGAGCAGAATATTTGGACCAAAGAGAGACGAAGTGACAGGAGGTTGGAGAAAACTGCACAATGAGGAGCTTCATAGCTTGTACTCTTCTCCAAGTATAATTATATTGATCAAGTCAAGGAGGATGAGGTGGGCATGGCATGTAGCACGAATGGAGGAGATGAGGAATGCATATAGGATATTGATGGGAAAGCCAGAAGGAAATAGACCACTGGGAAGATGAAGGCGTTGGTGGGTGGACAATATTAGAATGGATCTTGGAGAGATAGGATAGAATGGTATGAATTGGATAGATCTGGCTCAGGATAGGGACCAGTGGAGGGTTCTTGTGAACATGGTAATGACCCTTTCGGTTCCATAAAATGCTGGGAAATTCTTTAGTAGCTATAGAATTGGCGGCTCCTCCAGAAGGGCTCAGCTCCATGAGTATTTTTTTATTGCTAGTGGGGCCTATTGTACCAGCCCCAGATGATAAGTGAGGGTGACTGTGGAGCAATTGGTGGAATGAAGATTGGCAGGGGAAATCGAAGTACTTGGAGAAAACCTGCCCCAATGCCACTTTGTCCACTACAAATCCCACTTGACCAGACATGGAATCAAACCCGGGCCGCCGCGATGGGAAGCCAGCGACTAACCGCTTGAGCTATGGCGCGGCCAGCTCCATGAGCAGGTAAGTAAGCACTGCATCAGTATTAAATCCTGGATTGGCAGGGGTGGTGGGAAGATAAATTCCGCATTCATTTCGGAGGAACTAGAGACATACAAGTATCTTCTGGGATATATCGCCGTTGTCTCTTGAAAGTCAACCGGCGTTTCGGAGGAAAATTTCGCCATCATGTTCAGGGTCGAGGAATAAGTTCAAACAAGAAACCAAGGGTGAAGGTAGGTGGCAAATAGGGCTGGTTTCATTATTGGCTTATTCTTCGACCCTGAAAATAGAGGCGACATGTTCCTCACAAACGTCGGTTGACTTTCATCGAACTACACGGTGATATGGACCAGAAGGTAGAAATCGTCATAACCACCGATATGAGAAACTGAAATCCTACATAAGGAAATCAAGTTTCTGGGAATCGTGGGAAAATGCATGCAAATGAATTGAACGGATGAATAAATATACTCTATCCTAGGCGTGTGGATCAACTGTATATATACTGGCTACGGTCTGGGTTCGATTTCCAGTACGGTAACAGATTTTACACCACAACGTCCAGTCCCTCCAACCTTGTGACTTCCACCCTGCCTCCTATACCTTCCAAAGGTTCCAAAGCATTCCATGGGCTGGAAGGAATGCTCTTCCGCCACGAGTAACGTGGTCGGGGAATGAAGCTGACCACTCAGCTCCATCTAGCGCCGTAGTGAAGAATGGTGCAATTATACTTCCAGTCCCCACACGTCTTCATGTTATGGTGATTACTTCATCAATCGAGCACAGCGACAACTTTACTTTTCCGACATCTTGTAAACAGTATCTAATAATAGTTTCAGGGGATACTGTTGGCTCTACTGTTCACCACTTTAAAACCAGGTTAGTCTACACCAATAAGCTGTGAAGAGGGCGTTTAGCACATACACATGTGATGTCAACGGTGCCAAGATGGCGCGAAATGAATGGTTTTTGTTGTGAAGCGTAGGACCGTACAAATCGTACAAGTCAATTGCTGTTTAACACAGCTTACGAAGCAAAGGCGTGGCCAGTCGTAAACCGTACTAATCAGTGAATCTGGGTCACGTGTTTCCTCAGCTGATGATGTGCCACATATAGCCCGTAGGAAGTGAACGAAGTGAATATACGCGTATGGTGTGCGTTGCCCTTATATTGCACGGAATGCACGTATCACTCAAAGGCGCTAATGTTGTTTAGGTAAGTTACTTAAGTGAAATAAGTGGATTGATAATGGAACCTGAGGTAGATTTTGAATCTTAGAAGACCCCATGTAGGAAAATAAAGTAGGAGGCTTGGTTTTTCTTCATTTGTATTTTGGACAATATGAAATATACAGCACTTCCTTTGCGCATCTAAATTAAACAAAATGAGACAAGTTTTCGTTATTTTCAGATACGTAAATTCGGTACTGGTTGTTTGACCACAGAACGGTGTGAACATGAAGAGTAGGGTGTTCAGGGATTTAATGCCTTGTCCGATGGAAGTTCACCAACGTTTCAGAGTCTTCCGAAATGTCGCTGAACTTTTGTTGGACTACATGGCGTTACATATGAGAAAAGCGTACTCATCATAATCTTAGTAATAAATTGATAAGTAAGGTTGAGGGATAATTTGTTTTTGTCTTAGTTGTGAGAACAATCATTACCTACGTACTTGAGTGGATGTAGAGGGTGTTATTATGTTATTAACCAAATCATTTTTTTATGGTGGTTGTGTGGGGTGGTCTTTTTGTAGTGCTCACTGATTCAGCTGAAAAATTCTTACAGTTTTATAGGTCCAGTAAATCATGCAAAAGAGGTCTGATTATGGTGCAGAGGCATATCTTACACGAGGCATCTTTATATTTTGCTTTTGAAAAATAGGCTAGTGTTTGCTAATGATGAGCATTAACTTAAGTGAGTGACAAAAAGCCCATGTATTTAATTTTTCTTTATCATAATATGTTAGCAATTTTTTTTACTGTTCCTGAAGAATTCAAATACATTGTTAAATTAAAAAATAATACTGATAACAGCATAACGGGTAAAGAATACAGGGTAAGGCCCATCCTAGTATGGATAATTTCAAACTAAAATATAGTACTCCATTAAGTGATTTCTTGGTTATTATACTGTAGTTGTTTAATGGCCATATGGATGCCAGAGTGCAGCATTACTTTTGTTGCAAGTACCAGCATAACAGTATGCAGGAGATAAGGGTTATGAAGTCACCAAACTTATTGACCGACATGAATAATTCCTTAAAGATGTGTGTCCACCCTGGCTAGATATACCACAAAATATGTACTGAAGCACAACTAACAAAGTGTAAGGCTAACTGCATATGTATACTGCACATTATCTGTAAGTATGAGGACCATGGAAGTAATGATAAATATGTGCATTTTCTACTGTGATGTTCAATGAATGGTTGATTATCAACCACCTTTCTTCATACAGATAATATTTATAGTACTGTGGGGCTCTTGTCAATGTGTGTAGTCTTGTCACTACTCCTATGACAACCCACTTCTTCGGAACAGTTTGTTGGCCCTGAAAAGGACCGTGGTGGCTGAGATGCTTGACCGGTGAGGTAGGGCGGCGCGCGCCGGTAAGGAGAAAGGCTAGTTATGGTGAATGGCTGTTGAAAAGGCTAGTCGTTGAGCGCGGTCGTAGGAGCCATGAGGCAGTGGCTACGCCAGATGCCCAGTGAGTCGGACCGTAACACGACCACCGGCGAGTCCAGGCGCGGTGCCCCAGTGAGTCGGGTGTGAGAGCGCCGGAGGGCCGAGGCGGTCGTGCCTGGCGCAGCCTGCCGATACCTCCGAAGACCGAGCGCTGGCGACGAAGCCTGCTGGCTAAAGTTGCTTGCTGTGTGGCTTGATCGTAGACTGCAGTCGAACTGAATCACTCGGCGTTGGAACCGCCCCTTTTTATACACTGCTCGGTGGGGCGGAGCCAAACTCGAAAGTGAGGAGGAAGAATTGATTGGCTAGCGCGCGTAATGACGTAGATGTGTGCTAGCAGCGATCCCAGTATAAATATGAACGTCTGAAGCAATCTGGTTGGTTAGCGCGCGTGATGGTGAAAAGCGATGTGAAGAGCGAGCGTTGCAGAAATGCGTGATAATGTCGGATGTTCCCACAGTATCTACTGGTTGTGGGGTTGTGAGTGCATGAGCACCATTTTGCATATGTTGATGAAGAAAGAATTTAAAACAAAGCAGTGAGTCATTGTTTTCCTTTTAAGATATTAGTTAATGTAGCAAGTCAGGAAAAAAGGTACCCGCTCTCAATATAAAGTTTGTGGATTTGTGGTGGGTACTGTTTGAAGTGAAATCATGAAATAACAAGAAGAATAAAACTAGCGAATAATGCATATTTCTTGTTACTATCAGTTTTTAGATCAAAGGATATACACCAAGCGATTAAAACAAAAATATATAAAACAATGATAAGACCGGTACTTTATTATGGATGTGAGGGTTGGAAGCTAAACAATAAAGAGAAATTAGTCATCAATTCTTTCGAGAGGAAAATCCTAAGACGAATTTATGGACCAATGAAAGAGAATGGGATATGGAGAATAAGATATAGTAAAGAGTTATACAAATTATATAAGGAGCCAGAGATCTCAGTGATGATAAAGCTTAAAAGATTGCAATGGGCTGGGCATATACAGAGAATGGATAAGGAGCGTATCCCAAAGAAAATATTATACAATACAGTAGATGGTAGGAGACGTGCTGGGAAACCAAGAACTAGACGGATTGATGCGGTGGAAGAAGATGCAAAGAAGTTAATGGGTGTAAGGAACTGGAAGAGAGCAGCGCAGGATATAGAGGAATGGAGGGGCTTGATAAGGGAGGACGAGGCCCGACATCGGGCTGTTGCGCCATAGAAGAAGAAGAAGAAGAAGAAGAAGGTTTGAAGTGTGGTCCTGTGGGTTGTGACACCACAGTATGCTTCATCTTAAAGAATGGCATTTATTCTGAAAACTGAAATTGATAAAATATTTCTTCTAGCATTACAAGTTTGACAGAATTTAGTTTGATTTCCAGTGTGATATGTCCTATTAATTCTGTTTCTTGTAACATGTTGATGTTTGATTTCTTTATTGCTTGTTTGATAAACAATTGCCAAAAGTGTTTGTGTAACCTGCCCTGTAATGGACTCCTTACCACTCCATTCCATAGAAATTCCATGATATGTTTGGCTGGGTTTATAAATCCCAAGCCCCGCACCCCCAAAAAAAGGAGGGTTGGAAAGTTATTGTTATTGAATTGAATTGAATTGAATTGAATTTATTTACTTTCTATAAATCCTAAGTAGGTTAGTACATTTGGATACAGAACAAGTCAAAAGGTTACATACATAAGTACAGGCAATTTTAGCTTAAAAATTAATATAACTTAATTTACATCATTCTCTATTTACATTGAAGTATTCATCTAAAGAGTAGAAGGAATGAGCATGTAGATAATTCTTTAACTCTGATTTAAACCTTTTAGTATCATTGCCCAAGTTTTTAATACTTTGTGGCAGATTGTTGAACACTTTTATGCCAGTAAAGTAGACTCCTTTTTGATATACTGATAAAGTTGATGAGGGTAGGTGGAAGTTATATTTTTGTCTAGTATTCATGTTATAGACATCAGAATTTAATTTGAATTTATCTTTGTTGTAAACAACAAATAAGAGAAGCGATAATATGTATTGTGATTGAAGAGGTAGAATTTTTAATTTCTTAAATAATTCTCTACATGAATCTCTACTTCTACATCCTGTAATGATTCTAATTATATTCTTTTGTATTTTAAAAATTATTACACTATGTGAAGAGTTCCCCCAAAATATTAATCCATAGTTCATAATAGAATGAAAGTAGGCATGGTAAACCATCTTCAATGTTTCCTGTGACATAAAAGGCTTAATTGATCTCATCGCATAGCAAGCTGCATTTAATTTAGGTATAATTTGTTCAATATGTATTTTCCAAGACAGTGTACTGTCTACATGTATTCCAAGGAATTTTGTATCAAGTACTTTACAGATTAATTTGTTGGCATAACTGATGTCCAGATCAATTTGGTGGTTGTTTTTAGTTGTGAATGATATGTAATGGGTTTTATCAAAATTTAATGAGAGTAAATTGGCTTCGAACCATCTGTTTAAGGCTTCAAATACAATATTTATGTCATTTTTAAAGTTTTCAAATTTAGAGTTCTTAAATATTATACTAGTGTCATCTGCATATAGAATTGGTTTAGATTTATTGTTGATGGTTTTAGATAGATCATTTATGTAGAGAAGAAAAAGTAAGGGACCTAAAATTGATCCTTGTGGAACACCGTGCTTTATAATTCCCCAGTTTGAAAATGCATTATGACTGGAGTTTTTATTATTTATTTCAACTCTTTGATACCTGTTTTTGAGGTATGATTTGATCCATTCATTAGCTTTGCCAGTTATTCCATAGAAATTTAATTTCGATAGTAAGATATCATGATTAACACAATCGAAAGCTTTTGCTAGATCACAGAAAATCCCTCCCACAATTAATCTGTCATTGAGAGCACTTAAAATATCGTTAGTTAGTTCATAGGTTGCTTTTTCTGTTGTTAGGTCTTTCCTAAATCCAAATTGCTCTTTGACTAATATGTTGTTAGAATTTAAGTGTTCAAGTAGTCTATTATACATAACTTTTTCAAAGACTTTTGAGAATGAAGTCAATATGGATATTGGTCTGTAATTAGAGATGCATTTTCTCTCTCCTTTTTTAAAAAGTGGTTTCATTACAGCGTATTTTAAGCATTGAGGAAAAGTACCTGATGATAAAGATTTATTACATAGATGATTCAAGGGTGAACTGATGTAAACAGAGCTTGCTTTAAGTAAATTGGTAGAGATTTCATCATATCCATGTGAATTTTTGGGCTTAAGGGATTTAATAATGTTATGGGTAAGACCACATTGGCTAACTGGTTATGTTAGTTTGTTGGGCAGTGTTTAGGTAGTCTGGGATAGTCTGATAAGGCAAGAGTGAACCCCAATTTTCACAAATATTTTACAGTTTTAAAAGTTGGTAAATGTTTGTGGTAAAGTAAACTGAAAGTCAATTAACCAAGACAGTCTGGCTTATGATATCATCATGCTCAGCCCTTTGTGTTCTTCATTTAACTGATATCTGTAATACCAGTGTAGCAGTGCAGTAAACTTC